TCACCGATTCAGGAGGAGGAGGAGGAGGAAGAAGATGAGGTGCTGTTGCTCTCGATGGACCAATGGAAGAAAACCTGGCATCCTCATCCGCCCAACAATGAGGGGTCCTTCTCTTGAGGCGAATTTTCAGCCTGAAATCCTTGCACATAAAAGATTTGGAGAATATTTGTTGGAACGCAAGCACACACCGGCGCCATGCAAAGCAGCTTGCTATCTTCTCAAGGGAAGTATGGAAAGTCCTCGAGTGGGAGAGCAGCAGAGCAAATTCGGGGTTATAAAGTCTATGTATTGACGCCAAAGACATTCTCCTCCCCACCATGATCTCAGAAGTTGGAGGAGGAGGAGAAGGAAGACCCTTTCCCCTTCCGAACGAATCCCTCGACCCAAGCAGCAGCAACAGCAGCAGCAGCCCATCCACAGCCAGCCGCAATTTCAAGCAATAGAGGAGCGGCATATGAAGTAAAATGAACCTATGTCCAGCCGGTGACGGTCGCCTCTCATCATTCTCGACCAGGTATGACAACAAGAGGTGACTCTCATGACTTCATCCACCGAATGAAAGAATCAATGAACGGATGACTGGATTATGTTCCTGCTCTTCGAGGGCAAGGGAAGGTGTCAACGAGAAGGAGAATGAAAGAAACAAAAAGAGAGATGGAGTGGTTGGTCACAATAAATTGGGAAGAAGTCGCTGCTGCCGTTGTGGGTGTGTTGTTGTCAAGCTCCAGCAGCCTCCTGCTCCTGAGAAGACCGCACCCACATTCAATGGACGATTCCAATCATGGCTTCAGGTGTTAAGTTTCCCCCATAACATAAATGAAGGACGCGACTGGGTTGGTTTGCTCGGCTTGTTTCATGTCATGTAGATAAGGCCTCCTCATGTTGGCACCATTCTCTCTCTCTCCGGGGCTTTGTGGTTGAATACAGGCAGCAATTGAAGGTGGGAGGGGTGTGTGTGTTTGCTTGAGAGAGAGAAAGAGAGAGAGTGATTGAGTGAGTGCTGGAGTCGAACACCATCCAGCCATCCATCTACCCAACCAACCAACAACCAACCCAAGGACTTATGACTCTTCGAAGGTGATGCAATCCTTGTCCTCATTTAAGTTCAGCTCGGGCACAAACGCATCAAACCTTCAAATGTCAATTAAGACAGGTCATTATGCCCCGATTCCAGCAACAGCTGCTGCTGGGGCTCTTGCTGCTGCTGCCACAGCTGCATGCCCGGACAAACCCAAATCCATTCGCTTGGGAAAATGGGGTGGTTCGTTGCGCTTCTCGGTGGAATGGAGTGGACCGGATTGGATTGGGGCGAGGGCTTCAGAAAGCAATAAAGCTTCGTGAAAAATCTGATTTGGAGGCAAGTGCATGAGAGTGTCTGGAGTTTGCCATGGAGCTTCGGCTGGACTGGATATGCATGCGCGGATCATCGGCACTCGAGCATTGGGTGCACGAGCCCGATCGCCAACAACGCTAGAAACAAAGGGGGCTGGAGCCAAGGAGATGCAACCCAGCCTTCTTATATTTAGTCCTGTTCGCTTGACTGGGGCGTCCTAACGGCTTCCCAAATATAAGCCTCCATCTTCTCGTGATCCAATCCGATCCATCGCTGCGCCCTTAGCATTCAATTACATCCCAGCCTCGCCTACGCCAGGCCTAGTCTAACCCCCCACCTTCTAAAGTTATTAAATTCCCAACCTTTCTTGCATAAACCCTTCCCCCTAACGCTTCCATTCCGTCACAGCTCCTCCAGCCAGACTCTCTCACTTAGGACAAGACCGTATAAACTGTCCAAATAAAGTCGCCCCCAGTACTTCGAGGTACATGCCTTCGTACCACTCTCCATGTCCAACTCCTCCTCCTCCTCCTCCTCTTCCTCCTCCTCTATCTGCTTCTACTCAGCCCTCAGCATTGCAAGTTGGGATCTGCGGTCTACCCGTTCGTTGTGCTTCGTGAACGATGGGGAAATGTCACCATTTCTGTCTGTCTGAAGGGCCAACGACGCACAATTACAGCCATAATAGTATGGCTGTCCTCAATGAGAGAATAGAGAGTCGTTGGATTCCGGGGGGGTGATCATTTTGGGTGACATAAGGATTATCTGCTGCTGCTGCTGCTTCCCTCGGTGTAGGAGGAGGCCTGAAGGAGGGTTCGTACCCAACATCAGCAACGACTATCAAATCTTGCCTCCATGCACAGGCAGACAGCAGCTCTGTACCAACACGCTAACCTGATCTGAAAACCCCGGGTCGTAACCCCTGCCTGGGCAGGGGCTGCTGCTGCTCGGGAGAGAGAGGCAGGAGAGGAGAGAGAGCTATATAACGAGAAGTTTGGGTACTTTGTGGGAATGATAATGATGATGCTCGATCGGGTCGTTAAGGCGAGAGGGCGATCGATCTGAGCAAAAGAATTAAGCAGCAGAACTCGTCTTATCTTCTACTGTAGACGCATGATCGCCCTCAAAATCAGAGTTAATCCCATTCTCGGCACTGTTTAATCATGACCTTAAGCCCTGATTTAGCCCCCCGCTTACATTATCCCCTCATTGCGCCCCATACTCATCATCATCTTAGCACTTTTCACCAGACTCTAAATCATGCGTATTATCCTAATTCCTGCCATTATGTGTACATTCCGTTCTCCCTTCGCTCGCTCATCGTGTCGCCCTGCAGTGCAGTCCGGGGTAGTAGTAGTGTGTGGTAGGAGCAGCAGCAGCAGCGGTAGTAGTGTACGGGTCCGAGTACCTCTGCCCCGTCCTGCTGCTGCTGCTGCTCCTGCTGGTACCTTCTGCTCTGGTCTGCTGCTGTCTGACTCAATTCCGCGTCCTGGCTATACGAGGAACGAAGGCATTATTATGGATTATAATAATAGGAGAGCTGTGAACTGGTTAGCGTAGCAGATCAGCCTCGCTCCTTAATGTCGAGAAGGGCAGGACCTTCCTTGTATTCGTAGTTCCAGCGACAGCCTTTGCGATCGTCAGATATTGAATGCTGGTTGATAATTACGATAAAACTCGAAAGCGCTTGTACACGACAACTTCTGGCCCCTCGACCTGTACATACAAAATAAACACTCCAGATATTGTACCCAGCACATATATATATATATATGTATATATATATATCAATTTACATATTTATATGTGGCGAAATTCCCAGCGGTTTAATAATGCAGATATGCGTTCAAAGCCAGGCAGCCCCGTCTCTCTTGCTTGCGAGCAGCCCCCGCCCTACTCCAGAACTTGCTCTAGCCCTGCGATATGGTGATTGCCTTTACCCCCCTGTGTTATTCTTCGAGATCAAAGGGGTTGCGTGAAAATGGTCAGCGCAAGCGCAGGCTCGGTAAACTTGTCGCAGGCACAGAGTTACAGTGCGAGCGGTTTCTAATTGTGAAATTTCGTGTACCCTCCAGTGCCCCCCATTAAACTAAGGTTTCACTGTTCTCGTATCTGAAATGAAAGTGGGCGTTGGTGAAAAATATGATAAAAAAATCGCTAATTCGAGAAAAAGCACATGACGGGAAATGATCTATTTTGGCAGCAATTGATCGTTTTTATCCCCGGGGGGCAGTGTTCAAAACACTGGTGACAACCCTACAGCAGCAGGGGGCTATTTGCCCAAGCCTATGATCGATCGCGAATGATTTTGCCTGCCTGCATTCCTGCCCGCCCCCCTCTGCCCGTCCAGATCTGGCCTAGCCCTGGCCGGGCATGGAGGAAGCGACAAGGCGAGAGTATTTTTCTGTTTTCGCGATTTTAAATATGGCGGAAATCATCGAAATTGAATGCTCTGGGCGCTTGCGGGTGGGGCCCGGCAGGGCTTGAGAAAGGGCGAGAAAAGGAGAGCAGGGGGCCAGGCGAGATAAAATACTCGTCGAACGCTAAATGATTGAGGGGGTGGGGTTGGGGCTCGGACGCGAAGGGGTTCAAGGGGGGCAAAATGGCGGGGCCGTTTGTCGGCATGTCAATCAACAGCGCGAGCCGGTAGTCCTGGCCCGTTACCGGCGCTGACTTCCGGCAGACGACAAGGGAGGCACTCCGGGCAGGGTGTTCCAGTCACCGACCGACCGCCTCCGCGCCGGGCGCCGCACAGACTGGTCGTCCAGTAGTGCCATTTGTTGGCGATCGATCTGCATGGCATCCCTCGTCCGTCCGTCCGTCCGTCCGTACCCTCGCCCGTCCACTTTCTCGACCCTTCTCCGGTCACCTTCGCGACGCTTTCCCCCACCCTCCCTCCTGCCGCAAACGCAAAGTCGTCCGTCCTCACACACGGACACGGACGATCGCCACCGAGGCTTTACGTCTTCCGCGGTCGTCGTCTCCACGACAACAATTCCGCATCTGGGTTTGACTCGACGGTCGAAGCTGCGGATCCCCAACCAGGGGCCTAACTCAGCCACCGACTCTGGTCCGAGCCTGGTTACGAGTGCTTGCTCATGCTAGCACTATTTTGTCCGCTCCTTTTCAGGAACTCTCTGTCTGTCTGTCTGTCTCCCTCCCTCCCTCCCTCCCTCGCCGCTCTGCCCCGGGGCTGCCCCGCGAGGCGCTCCGCTGCCCCTCTGTCAGGCGGGCTTCCGTCCCTCCCTCGTCCGGTCTGGAAACATGTGGATAACGAATTCGCATTTCGAAGCCCTGGCGGACAAGGAAGTAAATTCCGAAATTCCAAAGTGCGCGCTAATTTTAATCATTTTCCTTCGCCCTTGTCGTTCCCCGCAGCCGCTTGCCCGGATCGTCGTGGACCCGGGCCATGGCGATAGAAAAGTTCGAGGCGGGCAGAGGAACGTCGCAGCACGTCGCAGGCACTCGGGGGATGCCGTCAGCTGCCCGCAGGTACGTCCGGCCCCGCCAGAATGCCAACAAGCCCGAGTCCAGTCCCAGCCCCAGCCCCAGCCCCAGGCCCCGAGCTGACCACCCTGCCCGCCCCTGCCCGCCAGGCGAGCCAGCTGGTGTGCTCGAGGAAGGGAGGCTGCGTGTGGCACTCGATGCAATTTTGTCGCAGTCGGTTCGTTCAGATCGCCCGCGGAGGGTCGCATCGCACACACTCAAATTGCCGAAAATTGTACAATACTCAGAGCAATCAAATGCTTATGATGACCTCCTTCCTCGATGCCAGCCGAGGGAGATACCAAAGGAGAGAACGACGTCGAAGCAAAGAGCGAGCCGGGGTTGCATCCTCTCTGTGCCTCTGAGGTGGGGTGAGGAGAGAGCTCTCCCACCTCGCATCGCCTTCCCTTACCTTTTCCTGTGGACGAGCTGGAAGATCGGGAGGGGAGGGGGTTAGGGCAGGGCCTAGAGGCACTACAGCAGCAGCCAGTACAACCATCACAACATGACGGAGTCTGGAGACCCTGTCCCGGGAGGGGAGGAGGGGGGCGGGGGCGACTGGCGACTGGCGGGGCTAAGATTTTCGCATATTCAACTGTTTTCCCATTCGATGTAAGTTGATATCACTGCGCTTCTTTCCGTGAGCACTCGCCATGTGTCAACGACATGCGAGCGCGACACTTGCATAAGTTCCCTCAGACGATCAGATGAATGATTTTCGCCTATTTTTCTCGTGGACCTGGACGAGATCTAGAAGACGAAGCTCTCGTAGCGAGAGGCTTAGATCTAGACCATCTGTGCAAACGAGCGGAAAGCTACTTTTTGACTTATGCGCTCTCATTGCCCTCGCTGCTGCAATGCTGCTCTCTTTCTGCTGCTGCATTGGCTTCTTGCAGCCAATTCGTAGCCCCCTTCCACTCCCCTACTTGTCTTCTAGTCTCTCTCGCTCTCTCTCTCTCTCTCTCTCTCCCATTTCTTAAGCATAGCCTTTTTTGCCCCTTTCGAGTACATTGGTAGTTGTTGATGGAGCAGAAGTAGTGGTAATAAGTAGTGTAGGCAAGGCAACGCACATACACTTTTCTCGGTTGTGGGGACACGGGCTCCATTTAAAAACAATATTATAATGCTTTTGTGGGGCTCGTAAGGGAGTGGGAGGGTCGACTGGTTTCTCCGCTATTGGTCAAACCTCCGAGAAGGTGAAAACGACAATCATGTAACTTTTCCTCCTTATGATGGACCTCAAATTGTGTGTGTACAATTGAATCTGAAAGCTCGTTTCCATGCTCTCACTACCCAAATTCCACAACTCCATTGTCGCTTCATTATAGCTGGTCAATCCGGCTGATGTAACGTCGACCAACAGCGCCTCTTTCCACCTTATAATCTGTGTTAGAAAATATGGCAATCATTGCAGCCTTTTAAATTAAGGAGAAATTTGATGATTAAGCTCAAACTTCACGTGGACTTAGTGGAGATCGGGTTGAGATGGGGGTCCCCCTTGAACCAATCGAAGCACCATAAAGTCAGCTGAAACATCAGCGATGAGCAGAAGCTAAAGAAACAAGCTCCTGTTTCGAAAATCGAGTTGAATCGTTCAAGGGAGGGGAGTCATTCTGTTGCTTAGATCCGCCTCCATCGAACAAAACCGCATCCCGCACTCTGCCGTCTCCTCACTCTCGAAGTCAACCAACATTGGCGGCAGCAACAGAACGGTGGAGGCTGGGCTGGGGGGTGATGAGATGAGCTCTGGTGCTAAACACTGAGTAAAGAGAGGAGGATGATGCAGAAGTCTGTCACCCATGCTGCTCGTCGCAAAACAGAATGGGCTGAGCACAAAACGCTGCTGGGCTTCCATGCATGCACCGACTCTTTCTCTCGCTTTCTCTGTCTCGCTCCGCCTCGCGAGTCCATTTGAGGAAAGGGAATCAAGGACGGCGAATGAGCGAGCGGCCACTTGCTCCAGGCCATTTCGAGCAGGAGAATCGTACATCAACTCACCGTCGTTTGTCTGTTTGTCGTTGCTTTCATCGCGAGTGACAGACGTGGCGGCTGCTCAGAATCGCAACCCCCCGTCGCAGGATATGCCATACACCAGCACAAGCCCCAGGCGATCAGCGCTTCCCCAACCCACCCCCCGGCCAGCGGGCCAGCGGGGCTGCGAGCCAGCCCAGCCCCAGCCCCAGCCCCGCCCCGCCCGGCCGCCCCCCGTCTCGGTGCCCCCACTCTGTTGGAACCTGAGACGAGCGCACCATATCCAGGCAGTAGACTTACAGAGCAAAGCTCTGTCATGGGTCTCGCGAGTGCGAGGCGCTTTTGTTCGCTTTTGGGGGTGCCCATTGTGCCGGCTGGCGCCCATCCAAGCCCAGCCTCCCCCGCCCCCCTCACCCCCCTCCCCTTCCATGGGGCAGCCTTCCCCCGATCCTGTAGAGTATTTTTCTCGTCATCGCCTCCCTCCCCCCCCCCATCCACATCCATGGACGCCAGTGGCAGTTCTGGCAACCGCCGGCCCACCTCTCTCCGTCGTCAGAACAGAACGAGATGTCCTGACGGGGCCTGGGCCTGGGGCTCTGGCCCCATGGGGCTGGGGCTGGGGCTGTGACGGGTCGAGCTGTATGATGCGTGCGAGGTTTTGACCACGCAGGGCTTCACACGGAACGGAACAGGGGAATCCGTCCAGTGCCAGGGCCACCTCAGCCCCAGCGCCACCCGGAGCCAATGGACGGCCGTTCCACATGGTGCCAGTCATGACAGTCAGTGGTCAACTGAACCGAAGTTTGACGAGTCGCTCCTCAGCGATCTCGACTTTTGTTAGCCCAAATTCGCTTTATTTTGTCTGATAATCGATCGACATGCATAATATGGGGGAACCGGCTAAATTCCGGGCCTGCACCGGCCAATTTTTTGCTAAAGATCCAATCGACTCCAGAGCCTCGACGACGTTTTCGAGTTTTTCTCAGCCCCTCGTGATCCTCCATCACGCCCTCAATGATGCACTCTTACTCTAATTAGCCGTCAACATGCTAAATTTCGCCTCTAAATCATTAATGAGAGGAAATTAAGGGCCTGCCTTAACCCAAACAGCATTCCAATCCCTGGCCACCAGCCCCTGCCAAAGGTTCCCCACCTGCTGGACCAAACTTGGCCCTCGCACATGAGCCAAATCAGAGGTCCGACGTATCCCCCACCCCCCGCCCCGCCAGCCATAGCAGCAGACCGATTCACCGCAGCCACGGATCATTGAAATTTGAAACCGAAGCTCCCGAATTATAATAGGCCCCAACAAGCAACAAAGAATATTTGCAGATGAATGGTCGCAGCTCCTGCTGGGCCAAAAACAGGAGCTCAATAAGTTAAGGGAAGGGTCCAAGTCGAAGGAAAATGGGGCAAGCGAAATCTCGAAGCACTTGGAGGAGCTCTGATATGGAGCTAAACTCCAAGTCTCGAGTATTTGGCGTGGGTAAAGAAAGCAAGTAGGGGGAAGCGCGAGCAAGTAGCGAGATTCCATGAGGGGTTCCGGAAGGCCTACTACGCCCGCTTGACATCACCCTTGGCAGCAGCAATTTTGTCCACAGCTCTTGACTCTCGCGTTAGCAGAAATTCGGAGCTCAGAAAGTTGCTAAATTCGGTGGAGGTGGACAAGAGGAGCTCGTCATTTGTCGGAATGAAGCCGAGCATATGGCACCTTTTAATTTGGGAAAGACAACTCATGTTCGCAGGGATCTGGCCTCACTTGCAAGCCGCGCTTAAACTTTGCCTGAAACAAGAAGTAGATACGATGGAGGTGAAGCCCCGGAATCGTTGAAATGTCAACATGCTTTTGGGGTGTGCCAGTTTTCACAAATTGGATGGACTTGGACTCCGACTCCGACTGACCCAATTTCCAGACCCAATGGCGAGCTCTCCATGAGTGGGCAAAACAAAACCGACAACTCTAATCGGCTCCCCCATTAAAAGGAAAAGAATATCGATCATGGTACGCGAAGGTCATAAATGATCGCAGAACTGGGTCCCTTCCAGCTAAAGTTAGCTGTCGGCTTGGGTCCCAAAACCCTCATCCTCCAATATACAACCCGAAGAAGAGGCTCTGCTAAGCCAATGGCTCGCCAACAATTGGTAAGATTCAGCTCAAATAGCCGCTAGCCCACGATAACCCCCTTTTTTTGGCGGAGCTCGGGGCTTATTCGTTGGAACTGAGAGCCGTGTTGCAATGTCGATCGGTGCAATTTTCTCCCCCAGTGTGTTGGAAAGCAAAGGAGCAGCTCGCCGTTTTTATGTTGGGGAGCTCCCTCTGATCAGAGTTCATGCTTCGAAGATTCGCTCGTCGCTCATTCAAGTTGTCATGTATATCCACAGCACAGCGGCACTGGGGTGAGTATTATGTTGCGCGATGGGGCTGTAATATTAGCGCGTTTGACTCCACGGCCTCCTCATCCACAACTCTCCACGTCGTGGGTTCTAGTTTCTCGCCGAGATGTGGTCCAAACCCCATCCACCAAAATAGAGCGAGCTCCTTCTCGACGTCCTTGCAGAGAGAGCATGTGCGCTGGGGGCTGCTCTCCCCTTATGTTAGCAACCGCCGGTCTGGAATGAGTTGGGTCGCGATTTTCTCAAGATCTTCTTCGCGTTCGTTGTCATCACCAACCGCACTATTCCCACTACTGCTCCTGCTGCTTGTCATCGAAGCTCACAGAGTAGAACGTTGTGGTTGGTCTCGAGGGCACTAATTAACCCGTCATGGCGTTGGGTTGGGTTGGGTTGTTTGGGCTAGCTACCCTCAGGCCCCTGGGCCCCAGAACGCTAAGGAGCACAGAGTGATATGGGGTAATCTCTCGAGATCATGTCACATGGTTGCATGGCCCTCCATGAGCTGTTCGCTTCTCTGAGCCATGTTCTAGGACCTCAGTCTGAGTATAGAAAGATCACCTGGCTTTGATGGCACACTCGGAAAATCCATCTCATCCATAAATCCATCCCTTCCAGAGGCCTATTCTGTACCAGGCAATGTTTGTTCAGCATGTCACGCTCCCCTGTTCAAGTATTCAATTCCATGGAAGGATGGGGCTGAAAAAAATTGCATTCATTGAAAAAAATGAAGTTCTGTACCTCGACATTTTGTGGAATCGAATGACTGATTTACAGTACTTATCTGTGCGTCACGACAAGGCTCCATCGACTCATAGAGCACGTTGTGTACATGTATGGCATCGTTGCAGAAGTGAGAGGTTGCCTGAGCTGTTGTGCTCTTGTTCTTGTATACATAGGAGGGTTAATGTGAATTGGCTTTGCTGCCCCTTAAACTATCACTTTTAGGGTATTCAGCAGTTACACTAACGGCAGTACACAATGCTTCTAGTGTTGGACATTCAACTTAACTTAGTGCTCCAGAAAAGTCACTTCGACGGAACCATCGTTTGTCAAGATCGGTGTTGGGAGCCGGTAGTCTCCGTGGTTGGCAGCTGAAGCCAACACGCACACCTTGATGAAGGTCCTCTTTCCAAGCCATGTACGACCCTTGCTTTGCAGTGTCAATAGTTTAGGCCTCACATATTACAATCGAATTAGTTTTCTCGTGGACGGCGTAGGCGAGTAATAGTCCTCCGGAGACTACATTTGTTCCGGATTATCTGTGCATGGGTCTGCCATTAGGCATTGATGGAGTGTAGCTTCTCCTAGGAGAAGCCACTGCTCACATATGTGTATGTGAGCAGAGGGTTTGCGTATGAATTTTCAGGTTAAGGCTGGTCCGTTACTTTTGAAGAAATGGGGCCTACAATCTCGATTTTAGTGATGGAAGACTAGCGGAATAAAAGACACCAGATAATTATGAGAATCTTCGAAATCAAACATCTGTCCTTAAACCCACCGGCGAGAAGATAACCACTCTGCTCAGATGTCGCGCCATCCTCGGAAATCGAGCTGTCGCTAGACTATAGCGCTTCGTTTCGATATAGATACTTTCCGAGAAACGCTCTTCCCTCACGAGTCCAGCTGTGGCAGTTGCGGCTTGCAGGTTAAATATAAACGGATCCATGTACAAGGCAGCTCTGCTAACCTTGTCAATACCTTATCAGGCTGAAGGTTGTCAAACGAAGAAAAAGGGTCACATGGACCCCAACGGCATCGTTCCTTGATTTCCAGTTGAGACGCATAAACTTCGACGGCCGCCACAAACGTCGCACTGTTTACTGGTTTCGTGTACACTGGTTGGGACCACCTCCGGAATATTATCCATGACATCGTGCAATAATCTGGATGGTTGAAAAGTCCTATCTACTCCATGCGATGAGTGTAGATGTCTAAATTCGAGAACGGTTGCCGACACCTGAAGAAGCAGCTTAGGCCTGAAAAAACGGATCTCATCCACAAGGGGATAATTGATTGACTGAATCTAGCCAACTTTTGCCAAATACGTCACAAAATTTTCCAATTTTCGTTAGCAGGACGCTGAGCTCCTCGACAGTTGTGTCTACCCAGAGCTATATATTCAGAAAAATGGCAATCAAAGTTCTGAAATGGGTTAAACCTCCATGGACTTATCCTTCAGTGCATGACACCAAATTAGATTCGTATTTGCTCAGTTTTTTCAGGCTTGAGACTGTCCTCACTGGCACACAACCAAAAACAACGATCGCATACTCCTTCTCGATAAGATAATCTAGAAGGCACTTATTCTCCAGAACCAGAGAAGACCATCCCCTGTCCTGAACGAGTATATTCTCCTACAACTAATGAAGAATGACTAACAGCTTCCTAACTTCCCGCTAACTAAAATGAAACTGCGGATTGGCACAAACATACCCCACATTACACCTCTCAAAATCAGCCTGATCTGCTAAACTTCAAAAGTTCATATGACGAAACTCTTTACAAAACTCATATTAACATAGTGATATCAATAGATAGCCTGATCGGATTCTATTTCAGTGAGATTCGTTATGACATTGTACAAAAAGGGAAACTTCCTAGGCAGAGATACTCTAAACCTGTTCAGGTATAAAGATAAGCATTGTTGTAACAGTACAGCTGCGTCTAAGTCTTAATTTACACTCACAGAGAAGCCATCTCTGTACTATGGTGACAGATTCTAGTTCCCAGATTGACTTTTGCCTCTTCCATACCAGGGTTGCAACCTTCAGTCAGAAAAAACTTAAGGAAACTCAGTGCACTTGTCTTACCATCTACTAGGATCTTACTTCCTTCTTTTGGCACTGGAAGGGCCTGCCTTCGAAGTAGAATCCTGTTTGTTCTTTGCTGGCGTCTTAGCTGGGGTCTTAGCTGGCGTTCTCGAGGGTGTTTTAGATTTCCCTGCGGCTCCTCGCCCTTTTGCAAATGTCAGATCAAGACTCAATTCCTACTAAAGAGTAAACGCATAGAATAATTCTGAAGACATCATAGTATAATTTTGCAAAAACCACGCAGGTAGGCATGCTTCATACCTTTAGGTTGATTAGCCCGCTCCAAAGTCACTTTGGTTGTCCCATTGGATGTTAGCATCGATTCTACGAACAAAAAAAAAGGATTAAACCTGGAATCCACAATGTTCCTGTCTGATATAATTAGTAAGATACGTACACATTGACTAAGTACGAAAGTCTTATCGTACCTATATTCTCAACGTCTTCGTTGTCCTCGTCAACTTCATCCTCATCGTCTGCAAATTGAGAACATTCATTCTCAGAACTCTCATAAGAACATAGGTCACGAGTTGATGACCAAAATATATTTGAAGCATATGCTAAATCAAAATCCACGAAGAGCAACACAATCTAAACACGTATAGAGATTATCACTACTGTAAAAGCATAGTAATGACTGTTCTCGGCATCAGAACAACATGGACAAGAAATACACGACGATACAAGTAACATTGAGATTTTCGAACCTGAGAGTGAGAACTCTTCCTCTTTGATGACCTCGTCGTCACCGTTGCCAGTCTCAACCTCATCCAGCACCAAACGCTTTGGTTTCTTAATGGCCTTCTTTTGACCCGGTAGAGACATGGGTGGAAGTAGATCAGCAGAGCGCACAACGCGATCAAGCATTCTACTTTTGTAACATTTAGTAAACGCAGTTTTTACTGCGGTTTGCACTCCTTCCAGTGGATCTGGGTGTCCCTGTATATGTAAGTATGAAGAAAGGTTAATGATGGAGATACATGCAAGACATCATTGCAAGCCAGAAGAAAATGTTAACCTGCAAAACAGAATTTCATGAAAAATTTCCCTTTGAAAAATGCGAACGAACCTTAAATTCTGATACTTCCAAGATCGTTTCATAATCCTCCTGGGTAAGAGAATATTCATTCATGAGGTCCACCACCTGTTCGACCGCCTCCTCCTGAAGGTGAAAATAAAAAACGATAACCGTGAATCAACAACATAGAAAGTGGGAGAACATGTGAGAAAGTTGGAGAACAGGCTAGAAAGTGTTGAAGTACCTTAGGAAGATGTCGTAGAGGGTGTGCAATCTGCAGTAGAAATAGAGGAACATAGCTCAACCGTATGGACTCCCTGAAAGTAGAACACATAAACAATAAACGATTCATTACAAGTATGAAAAGTTGAGGTACAAATTTCTTAACTACCTTGATAACTAAGAAGGATATTCTTGTAAGATTTATTCTAAAAACTTGTATTTAAGCTTATGAGTGGAACATTACCTAGTAGGCTCACAGATGCGCGAGGCTAGGAGGTGGATGTGCACGTCCTCCAAAAGACGGACCTTCTTCTTGAAGTTTGATTGCTTACCAAGCCAGGCAGGAAATCGGTTGAAGTTACCTCGACCACCCTGAATAATATGAAACAATTAGAAACGACGATCACTTATATACAAGCTACATAAACCCAATGCCAACATATTTCAATAAAAACCTGCACAAAATAATCCATCAGAAATTACTTCGAGAGTCCTGAGTCTGCAACAAAAATGATCAAAAGACACGCTTGAACTGAATTTACCTCAAATTCTTTCCGCTGACCTTGCATCAATGCAGCACTAAGATAAAAAGAAAGAACAAAAGACGAAGAGCAAGTCAGCTGAAAAAACTTGTTTAAGACAACGTTCAAGATCGCATCAGAACTGCAAGTGAAGCAGATTTTGCAAGAAGAGCCACCGGTTTCACAAACTCACAATATTACAGTGAAATTTCAACTATCTCCAGTTTCGAATATTCAGAAGATGTCATGATTCTCAGGGAATTCGATGGCTGTCCGATTCACCTAGCTACTTTCGATACGTACGGAATTATAGAGGACAAAAATCCTGATGTCTGAGAGAGCTGCCACTGATTACGTCGCCGAATCTGTCCATTCACAATATCTCCTTCTGCTATGGACATGGCCGCACGAGCTGCACGGTCCATGAGAAGAAGACCCGTGCTGTCTCTGCTGGCTTCGCTTGGTAGAAAATTTAGATAGTTTTCCTGCAAATATCAAAGAACAAAAGCCATATACTTAGACAAGGTTTACAGAAATAAAGGCCAGCGGACTGGAGAATTGTCTTATTGAAGATAAATTTTGATGTTTCAAAGAATACCTTACCAGTCACAAAAAATGTTACGAAAGTTGTAAAATGTGCTAAATACCTGGACAATAAGGGGTACTAAATCTGCATCAGACATGTGCATGTCCACCCGATCGTCCATTCTCAAATTCCGTCCTTCAAATCCTAACAATCTACAAGAAACAAGACAAACACAACATTATTCACTTCAAGTAACCCGGTGGTGATGACATTTAATGAGCTCGGATACAAGTTCTCTGGTCAAGTTGGTTCGAAAATGGTGCAAGTACTCACTTCTCTGCGGCAGTGAATGGTGAAAGAGCTTCGTCTTTCGCACTAGCAACGAGGCGAGTATGAACATCATTGAAATTAAGAGCAGTTGTACGTAGACTCATGTACTGTAACTGGTTCAAAGACGTTCGCATGTCCCCGTTCGATCGTTCAGCTATTTCTTCTAGGGTATTCTGAAACAAATACACACATGTCTTCTTAAAAGACCTCATCCATGAAAGGTGAAAGGAAAGGGGAACTCCAACATCATTGAATTGAAGAGCAGTTGTACTTAGACTCATGTAATGTAATCGACTCAAAGAGATTCTCCTTTCTACGTTCAATCGTTCCGCTATTTCGTCTAGGGTGTCCTTGAACGTGTAGACACATGTATTCTTGAAGGATCTCATACATGAAGGAAATGGGACCTCTAACGCCATTCTGTTTTCCCTGAAACCCAGTTCGCTATTCTGGAAATTTAGAGAACATAACGAGGTCAAATCCACCTTATACGTCACGTGACTGTTGTTGGAACGTGTTTCACCAAATGATTTAAATACACTCACCTCAGCTACCTGGATACCCTCTGCTTTTGCAATTTGCATCAACCTCTTCGCCATCTGGGAGATAAACAGAAAGAATTAGACCAAATTGCACAAGAGACAGGAATTAATAACTCCATCATGCGCTTCAAGATGATATCGAGACACTGCGAGACTGTCCTCTAAATACCAATACGGAGAGAAGCTACGCAAGGTCAGAAACATTTCCTTTTATCGGATAGATATACAACATCATATCGTTGCTTTGGTTCAATGAGTGCATCCTTTGACAATCCATGTCAGAAGCAACTTCGATATAAATTGCTCACAAGTTACTGTACCTGTTGTTTTGTAGGTTTCCTGTAACTCAAAACAAGACAGTAATTGAGAAGACTTTTCAGCTTCTGCGAATATCGGTCGTTGCAGATACATATTATAGGAACACGACTGGACTTGATGCTTGCAATTAAGTCTGCCACACCACCTCGATCCCCTCCGGACATGCCGTCTACTTCGTCCATGATCAGGGCTGATTTTTGAGAATGTCCCTTTCTGTGCCAAGCAGAATTAGTATGAGTAGGAATCATTCGACTAGCAGCTAACAATCGACCAAAAAATAGCAGCACGCGATTGCTGTATAAACGAAAGTCGAAAACTCATTTGAAGTACCCAGTCTTGAAAGAGATGCTCTCGTTATTGACCATCTCCTTGATTGTATTGGCTGTACTACCACCCATGCCTCTCTTGACATTTGAATCAGACTTGCCGCGAGAATCACTCGCATTGACCTGTTGGCATGAGTTGATAAATTGCTTCAGATTCACAGTACACTGTTTCAAACAACATACAAGCTGCTACATGCTACTCGAAATATTGCTATACAGAATCGAGATTTAATCCGCTGCAGGCATGTACGTATGTGTCTAATACTTAAGACTACAAGAATGAGAGGAACATGACGAGCAACTCTGGGTATGTCAAGACTCTGAAAAAATTGCTCTTCATTGAAGACCTTTGCATTTTCACTGAATTTGAAGTAACCAAATAAAAAGAAAAAAGTGGGAAAAAGCTCGCACCTCTAATGTTTCATAGCCCAGCTCTGCACAAACCAAGCGGGCGGTTGTTGTTTTCCCAATTCCGGGTGTTCCACTTAGCAACACAGCCTTCTTAAGCGCAGGCGAGCTGCTAGCAGCATCACGCTTCTTCCCCTTAGCACCTTTGCCACCAGTGTGTCCAAAATTTGCCTCCCAATGCTGTAGCCAGTCTCTCAACTGTTTTACCTGTTTGAGGAGCAAGTCAGGCATGGTTAGTTTGGATGTAGGCCTATATTAAGGTGAGAAGTAAACGTAGAAGAAAATGTGCCTAAAGTCATAACTCAATTTCAATAGGTAAATCTCACTATTCGAGGTAGTCCACTTGCACCCGGGCGTGAACACGCAGTGAAGGGGAAAGAATGACAAAAAAATATTTGACAGATTGTATTTTACTTCGATGTAACAAGAACTGACACAAGAGGGAAACAGGTGTACTAGGTGCTACGCGTAAGCAGTCTCGTCCAGCCAGTTCACACAAAACAATATAAGTGAAGGAAACAAGAAACATGAGAGATGGGTCAATATGCAATGTGTAGTTACTCCTTACAATGCCCTGATTTCCGATGATATCAGCCGTAGTTTTAGGTTGGTGCTTAGTAGGCCACGACTGTGATTGTTTTCTTGCCACACCAGATTTCGATGCTGGCGGCAAAGCCTTCATCTTTGTATCTGTCTTGCTGTATCTTCCTCCTGGTGACGCGGGAACAGCGGGAACTGCAGTAAAACCTCCTTTTATTAATTGTGCAGTTCTTTGAGACCATAAGAAGTAAATGCAGCATGACACAAATAAAAATATAAAAACCAAAGTCTACTAATCATGATAGGCAGTGCAGAAGATCTCATCATAAACTCATTAATTCTTCCACCTTTCGAGTCAGCCTGTGGTCTACTCGTAGACGGCTTCTGTGGTGTTCTGCTTGTATCTACGGGCTTGCTTGCAGATGTCTTGGGTTTTGAGGCTTTGATCATCTCAAAGAGTTCATCTTCTGTTAGAAATTTCACACTGTGCCACAAATATAACAAACTTATCAAACACAGATTTTTACCACGAGACGATTGAGAATCAGTCAAAACCCTATCCATTACCCCTACTGCGATTATGAGACATGACCCTCTCCACAGTGCTATCATTGTTCACTGTGACAATGGAACATTATACCTTTAACGCATGAATTTGATAAAGTCAACACCACAAATATGGCTTTCAAAAGCTCTATGTGTGGAAGAAAGGGCATGGTTAACTTAAAGCTGAGATAAATTTAACTTGGTAACCGGACAGTGTATATATACAAGAGCATCCAAAGAAGCTACAAAGAACATAAAACTTGAACCAAGGATATTCAAAAATCGTGTAATCCATGGTCAGAATCTTACCCAAGTTCTTTGGCCTTCTTAGACTTGGCACCTCCAACGTCTTCATCGGCCAATAAGAAGCTCTACAGCCGAGACGTTAAGCTTTAGGTGGATGTCATTCAGTTCCAAAAAGTTACGAAGGAGCACATAAATAAGTCAAAATTGCGAAGCAAATGAAAACGACCGTATCGTTCATACAGTTAAAACCGATGATAGAACAAATTAACACATGAAAAATACCAAGACGCCTAGGCGTGATGTCTTCTAAAAACTGTGACATGAAAAAGGACTTCATCAGCTAATGGCACTGTCACCGGTATATTTACTAACACTCCTCAAGTACAAGTCCACCAATCCGTTCATAATAGCAACGGAGGTTGGGGACGAGAACCTTGACTAGGCAACAAGCTCATAGACTTGGGTCATGGGTGACACGAGAGCAAACACACTACCCCTGAATATAAATTTTCTCAAGAGCAGTAAATATCAAGTCAAAATGCCGGGTAAAAATTTTAAAAAATGACAGACCGGGGATGGTCCCCAACAAAGTCAAGAGTTTAGGACACACCGTTTTCTTACTGACAGCAGATGTAATTCGACCACCATGACTTTTAATCAAAAGTTCTGCCTCATCTCGCTCCAAGCTGCGGTTGCATTAAAATAAAGATCAATGTTCCGAAATGGTTTCATGTAGCATGCACTCCAAAATTCAAACTAGTGATGACTTCGCCAAACAGAAGCTTTTACCTGTCAAGAGTTCCGCTGATGACAAATGTTAACCCATTCAGAGCATCCTCTGCACCTTGAGGAACCTCCTGTAGAAGATATGAATAAAAAAATTAAATACCAGTGAAACGATATATCTAAATGGGCTTTCGATCATCACAATTGCAACATGCGAAATCAGACTGAGAATTCCGAACCTTTTCCCCTTTGTGCGGTGGGACCCCCTGTCCTCCCCATGGAGCACCTCCAAATCCACCTCCACCCCTTCCACGGCCCCTTCCTGCAGGGGCCTTCGTTTCCCCATTCGTGTCGTCAGCTGGCTTTCCTCGACCTCTACCAATCGCAGTAGCCGTTGGTGCAGGTTTCTGTGGTGTAGACTTGACTTCTGGCGTGCTGGGAGGTTTTCCTCGTCCTCGCCCTCTTCCTACAGTAGTCGCGGGAGGTTTGGCTGGGGTTTTAACTGGACTGTCACTTTGGAAATTTTCGTTATCTAATTCGTCTTCAGATTCTATTATAACAAACTTCCCGGTCCCCCTGGCCCTAGTTGCAGATGGGGTTTTCACGGGAGTTTCTTTTGGTTTCTTTTCTACTGGAGTTTCGATCTTCCGTTTACCCTTCACGTTGAGCTCATCCGAAGCTGGAATAACCATCCGAGGTTTCTTGGGAGGAGTGCCGTTCTCCTGCTCCAAAATGTGAAGACCCTCTTCGCTCTTTCGTTTTCCAGCATCTGAGCTCTTCTTCTCCAGCTTCAGCTTCGATTTATCTGCCGCGCTGGGAGTTGTGCTCTTCCCCATCGCACCACCTCCAGAAAAAAACTTGCTCTCTTTCTTGTACTTCGCACCAGGCCCTCCCTCGTCAGAGAGGTTTTTCTGTTGCAATGGGAAGAATCAGTTCCCGCCAGTACTAAAAATTCGGTACGAATCACACAGTGCAATAGATGCCAAGAACAAGCTCGACCAAAAAATGAAGCCAATTCAATGTTCTTCCTCCTTGACAAATTCGAATAACCAATTGTGCAGAACAGATTCAATGAAAGGTGGCACCAAGTGCTCAAATGGATCTCAGAAGAGCTCAGAAGAAAATTCAATCAAACAACTTGCGAGAGCAGCAACAATCAGTAATTGCTAAAACCTCGGACTTCCTCTCGGAGCTCAAACTTGGTCAATTCACAAACATTCAGCTTGGCGGGAAAATACATCAAAATTAGAAAGGAAGTCCACCAGCGATCGAATACCAGTGGCAAGGACAATCCAGGGTATGCAAATTTATCTAACCTTCGAAACCTCGAATCCTTCGGCACGGTGCCAATGTCACCCGCGCTTTCGCAATTCTCAAAACCAGGCATGATCAGACATAAATTATCCACCGCAAAGCGGAAATTCAGCTCAACCTTGAAAATAGAAGGCACATCCAAAGAGGTACTCACAGACGAATCTTCATTCTTCTCTTTATTCTGATCGGGTTTTTTCATAAACCACTTCCTGATATCGGCCTGCGCAGACATCGTTCCGACTGCGAGAACCCTGAGCTGACTGGCCCTGCGCTCCGACGACGACTCAGCCGCATCGGCCTCACACCTCCATCATCAACATGCCGATCGATCGATCGCCCGAGGCTCGAATGTGCTCGCCCCGCCCGCTGCTCAAACTCTCGCACGGCCAATGTTCGCGCCAAACGCCCGTCGCTGCTCGCTCCGTCTCGTGGCTGTCCACGTAGCCACTTTCAGCTCCAGCTCCAGCTCCTCCTGCACCGGCATCCCGCTCGCTCGCTAGGGCTCTGTCTCCCTCGGTCGCTTCCCCTTCAAGATGCCCGACTGCTGCCGGTCATGTTTTACTGGCAGTCGTGTCCAACTTTTGAATATTAACCGCTGACTGTCGATCTTCTCTCTGTCTGTATACGGGTTTCAAGGATGTGTTCACAACTACCTCCATTTTATTAGGTTTATCGTTCTGGAGTGCTCATGTACCTACCAACATCACCTCGTACATTTCCACTAGTCTTTATCGACTCATTGCAGTTATTTTTTATTCTTTATTTTCATTTGATCTAACATCAATTAACTAGTATCGCATAATTTTTTACATCAGTCACTTGAACTAGTATTTCTTTCGGAATGTATACTCCAACATCTGTATGAAACTATTTTCTAATTAAATAAAAAAGCAACAAGAATAAAAGTGGTGAGTAACAGTGATAAGTTGCAAAATCTCATGATTAAATATCTATTTTTTTTAAGTTGGCTTTGTAATTAAGTGTTCGTTATGATTGAAAAAGTTTGTTAAAATAATGTTGAAAGTCTCAATATATGTAAATTTCATGTTTTGCTTAATTTTTTTTACAATGGATTTTCTGGTAAAAAAATTTCTATTGACATTCAACGAGTGAAACAATTTTTTTTCGTTTTTTGTTTAATGTATACTTTTTTAAACAGCAAATTAGATGTTTCATTTTTCAACAATGGATAAGGGAGTAATTGATATCATGCTTAACTCTTCAAGAGTTTTGTTACACATGTCTGATGTCCGTTATTGATGACATCATGTCTGTGAACATCAACTCTAATGAGTTTCATCTGTCCATGGCTTGTGAATTGTCTAAGTTATCACCGTGATAAGAATAGATATACAAAAAAAAGTAACCGGCAAATACAATCGATGGAGTATTTGAGTTTCTATTTTTTTCAACCCTTAGTAGCTATGAATAGAATGGTACTTGTGCTTATCGTATGAGATGTATTGAGGTTTATAACACCACAAATATTTATTTTGTTAGTATATTATTTATCATCTAATCATCTGTAATATAACAACTTATTTATTGTTTAGAGTTTTCAATTATATTTTAATTTTGTAAAATGTTAGAAATTATTGAGTTATTCCATCAATGTTCAATTGCGGATTCAACTAATTTTTAAACATCCTATTGCTAATCTTTGAACAGCTTTTTGGATTCATTTAGAATAGTAAAATATAAATTATTTTATTTATATATTTCAATATGAATCACATTATGCTTGTAGGTTACACATGAAACAATACAAATGTATTTTTGATAATAATCAAATTTATGATTGCAAATATAAAAAGTTTATAGCATACATCGTAGTTATTTTTTATAAATATATTAATTATTTTGATAAAATTTATTTCAAATAATTTATCCCAAAAAAAATTTATAAAATATTTTGAGTGTTTTTCTATGATTATAGATATTTTATTGCATTGAAAAACCTAAAAATATGTTTTAAATTAATAATTTTGTATTTACAAATACAATGACATTGATGATCACTTTAAAAAAAATATGCAAATCAAACAAAAGCTAAATCTTCAAGTTTTGACATAAATTTGAATTAAAATTTTACATTTTATGTGACAAAAATATTATATAGTTTAAAAAAAGATGTTTGTATTATTAAATTACATTTATCATATGTATTTTTGAAGAAATTACGATAACTAATTTTCAACTTTATGCAACTGCATGATTATTTTTTAGTATTTTGTTGCACAAAGTTCTCAATTGGAATTTACTTTTCATGACAAATAATCTAGTTACAAAACCATCAAGTTTTATCAATGTTCATGATAAATTGATTAACAATATAACATAAAAAGCAATGATAAGATTTATTAAACTCTTTCATCATGTTATGTATGAGCTAAGATAGAAAAGGGAAAGAGCAACCAAGCTGGGTGAGAGATTAACATAAGAACATAAGTTGGGCAGGAACAATAGAGCAAGACAAGACAGAAGAACATGATTTCATTGATCGATCAACTGATGTTGATCTGCTGAAGTACGTGATAGTGACAGTACACTCTATTGATCTGTCTAAATGTACTAAACCTAGAATGCCAAGGTGACTAGATGGGATTGCGCCACTTGGATACCAAGATGTGGCCGCACTGCTGAGATGTCTGCACCGCGGAGTTACTGAGATGTGGCTAATCCAAAGCCTTGTACTTACGTTTCCATATTTTGATGATGGATGCGGCCATGACAAATTGCTATGTTAAAAAAATTGTTATGTATACAAAATATGACTAAATCAATAAAATGACGAGTGTATTATTGATTGATCAATTTTTACATCATATTTTAAGCTTTCAAAAGTTCAATGTAATTTTGATGTAAAAAAAAAAGAAGTGTGGATGATGAATAAAGTGTGCAAGGTTACATATTTGATCTTCTACATTAAACTTAATTTTGTTTCAGTAAATTTAGGGTAATTACATGAATATTTGATCATAATAATGACAATGGAAAGATGGGAAGGTTTTCTCAAATATTTTTTGTTAACAATAATATTTCATCTCTACTGATAAAAATTAAATAAAATACTGATGCTTAAAGATTATTATTTATTATTAAAAAATATATTGTTTTTTATTAAGAAATAATTGAAATATTTGTAAAAAAATACGTCAAGTAATCATATTGATAATCAACTATAGATAGATAGAGTTAGTATAAATCATATTAGACATAGACGAACCTTACTTGTCGTAAGTTTTTCGTGACACTACTAGGAAACATGGGTAAGGCAACTTTGTATTTAATTGCGTGTAAAATCATGAAGATCAAAATATAATCGAGTGTGTGTTTGGAAGATCTTTTATTATTTGTTCACACACTGAGTTTTATAAAAAATTATTTCCTTGCTTTTAACTCTAAATATACACCAAATTTATTTTCTAATCTGATTTGTTTGTTTAAATTGTAAAAAAAAGTGCAATTAATTCTTAAAATTATACAAATCTGAAGTGCAAATTTGAATATGTGTATTCTTTCACTCCTTGTACTTGTCAATCAAACATCAAAAGATATGTTTCAAGCGAATATTTTGAATACACAGATAATGGATATACATCTTGAAATTTTGAAAAGCTAACGTGCAATAAAGATTCATAATGTTAACTTTCCTTTTGGAGCTGGAAAGAGAGTTTGAAAGGAAAAAATCGTAGATTTTCAAGATAAAAGATCTAGAAATTAGAAGAGATGTCACAATTTAATTTATAGTCTCGAGGTTGAAGCTGTGAAAGATAACTTCAACATTTGGACTAAGTGCACGAGAGCTTACCATATAAAGAGCATGAATATCATAATCTTTACATCAGTATGCAATATATTTTGGGAATTGCTAGGCACACACCCCCAGCGACGTCCACGCGGACGTCTGCGAGGCGCGCGCGGGCGACGAGCACCAGCTGACAACAACACTCGACGGGATCCGTCCGCGTTCGAAAGTGTTCCCAATTAGGTACCTTCCAAACAAAAATTGCAGCGTTGCCACCTTGTTTGCCGAAGCGCCAGCATGTTTGGACCCGTAAACAGCTTTTCCCCATTGTTTGACGAAGCGCTGGCATGTTTCTACGCAGAAATGTTTAGCTTTTGTTGTTTTGACGCAGAAATGTGCTTTGTGGACGAGTGGATGTATGCACAGGAGGGGGGTGTGTGCCTAGCAATTCCCTATATTTTAGTCACAATAGAACCACATGTATCGTTTGAAATATTATTGACGACAATGTACATTTTCCTTATTTTCTGGTATTGAAACATATGCATATATAAAAAATATCCCTATATCACGTGGTTTCATCTCTTGATTGCTAAATAATAGAAAATTCATCATGCAAACCTCAAACAAGTTTAGAATAAACGTACTTATGGAGACACCACCAAGCGTTACAGAGATGATACCAAACGTGCAACGAGGGCAAGACTATATTTATATATATACACGAATGATTAATGGGATCTTCCCATCCCTTTGCCTATATTTTTCTTATAATTTCTAAGTTATGAAGAATACCGTTCCTTGCAATGGCGTCAACGGAGATAGGTGATTTTGTGTGCCTCATATGCTGACGGGACAAAGCCCAGTGCCAGCATGGACGGCCAATGGCGACCAGTTCGAACCGGGCTACGGTTGGCCGCAGGCGTCAGAGGAGGAAGACGGGAAGCACTACAGACAAGGCTTTTGCACTGGCGCTGCTATATGCTAGAATCTTGCCACATTTTGGCTTGTCAAGCACCTCTCTCCAAGAGGAAGCCCATCGTGTACCCAAACCTCTGGAACCATCTCCTTTCAGCAGCAGAGTTGCCGCGCAATTTGACATCTTCGCGAATTCGGTCCCGAGACCTGGACGCACCTTCTTCGGCTCTCGCATTTCCTGCTCGAATTCTGTCACGTCTGTCGAGCACGCCGGTGTTTAACTGTCGTAGTGAGTTTTAATCCTCTACCTTGGCGTTAAAACTTTAGGGTTAGGGTTAATCTAAACCCCCAGGTTTTAATCACTAACGGTTCGAGAGTGCAGAGCAAGAAAGGAGAGTGCAGATTGCGGTCGATCGGAAGAAATTGGAGTTGGCGAGAAAGGAATTCGTGAGTGGGAGAGGGAGGTGTCGGAATGGCTGTGATTTCTGAGTACGAGGAAGAGCCGGCGGTGGACGCTTCTCTTCCACCAGCGGCAGCAAGTGCGCCTTTGAAATATTCTCAAGTTGCAGCAGCTGCAGCGTCAGCTCTTGCTCCTGAGGCGTCCAGCAGTGGGAAACATGACGACCTTCTTGGGCAGTTATTACAGCAACACAAGGGCCAACCGTTTGAGCTTCTGAGATCAGTCTTTGATTTTTTGGGTAGGAAGACGGACGCGCTGGGTTCTCAGCTTTTAGAAAGTCGGTTGCAGGATATTGTAGCCTCGGTTAAGGATCAGATCGCTAAGAAACGGGAACTGGAAGCTGCTTCGGTCGGATCTAAAGCAGTCCCGCAAGTAGAGAAGAAGGTGGAACCAGTTAAGCAGGATGCTGTAGTTCAGGAGAAAGCAGCCCCAGTAGTTGTAGCTGAGACCAATGGAGCCAAGGATGCGAAGGTTGTGAAATCTGAGGATGTGCCAGCTAGCTCAGATGACAAGGACGAAGCCGAGGATTCAAGTTCGAAGGGCCTGGGTACGTATGCGATGCTTTCCGTTGGTGCAGTGAGTCGGCTTGTAACTGTGGACACGTGATCCGATCATTCTCAGCTTTTTTCTGTTGTAAATAATGTCAATGAACTTTCTTGAAGCAGCGTGTTCCCACTCATTCAAATTGAGGCTTAAGTTGGCTGCTTTGAGGAATTTTGATCCTAGCTTACCCGGAGAGGGCCGTAAAAGTCGTTTATTATGATGGATTCGCGTGACTATTTGGCCGAAGACGATGGCCGAAGACCCCAGCGATATTGGGCTTGGCGATCGCGGAAAATTTCGTTGATTACTTCTAGCCGTCCCCACACTTCCAGGTTCTGTACTGTGTGAAGAACTTCGAAGATCTCAGACGCAATGTGGACCCAAAGAAGCGTGGCGTATGTTTCACTGTGGCAGTCGGATCTGGTGTCCTTCAGCGTATATGTGAACGTTGCTGCATGAAGAGTTCAAAGTTCGTGACAGTGAAATTGCTAATGTACATATGTAGGCGTGGGAACACACAGCTCTCTGTGCACAGTCTGGGATCTTTCTTCAGAGATCGCAGATTGGAAGAGTGAAAATTTTAATGTTAGTCACTAACTCCAATGTCGACCACCAAGAACTCATTGTGAAGGGGCTGTGAGATTTACAATGAAGGTGCTTGTCCTTGCGTTGAGTTCGGACTTTTTTTGTATTAATCGTTGTACATTTTCTGGTCCATGCAGCACCAAACTCCGGAAATGGCGCAGATCACGAGAAGTATTCGTGGACACAAACTCTCTCAGAAGTTACAGTGCACATACCTATTCCACCAGGAACGAAATCCAGAGCAGTTTCTTGTGAAATCAAGAAAAAGCACTTGAAAGTGGGACTGAAAGGCCAACCTCCAATCTTGGAGGTGAGGGCATAAAAGCATCATCTTTGATGTGATTTTTCAACGTTTTGCAGATGAGCAATGATAACTATGTTGTCTGAAGTTTCAGTGTAGCTCTTCTTCGATATTTTACGATACTAGTCGATATTTTAAGAGATCCTAATGATTGAACTATATCGCAGGGTGATCTGTACAATCCTATTACGGTCGATGACAGCTTGTGGAGTATAGGTACTTGAGGACTTTTCTGAACCGATATTTTACGCTCGCTTCATCTCGTGCTCCATTTTGATTGCTTTGTGAGACATGGTTTGATTTTGTTATAGTGTCTGTGCTCCTTGCAAAAGTTATGGTCAAATCACTAACTTCTAGTCCTTTATTAAAGTCTCTAACGTCCCGTTTTTTTTCTCCCTTTGTAGAGGATGGCAAGACTCTAGCCGTGCTCCTAACCAAGTCTAATCAAATGGAGTGGTGGAAGAACGTAGTCAAAGGGGAGCCTGAGATCGACACTCAAAAGGTGGAGCCAGAGAACAGTAAGCTTGGAGATTTGGACCCAGAGACTAGGCAGACTGTCGAGAAAATGATGGTAAGTTGTCCTAGATTTTGTAGCAAAACCTTACGTGTCACAACCTTCACATGTTTTGTCGGTACCCTGTTTACAAACAGGGCCATGAGATGTATTGGGCAGTTAGCCTTTTTAACCTATTCTCACACAGAGTTGATCAGTGCGGAAAATCTGGTGGTGTTTTTGAACTCGAAGTCCTGCAGATTTCTTGTCTTCCTTTCCAGCATTCGCGTCTGTAGTAGTCGGAAGTTTTCTCGTCAACTCAGAACACGGATGCTACTTTCCTGCATAATGAAAACTAACAACTTGTGTCGATGCTGTGTGGATCAGTATGATCAACGACAAAAGGCTATGGGATTGCCAACTAGTGAGGAGAAGCAAAAGCAGGATATCCTGAAGAACTTCATGAAACAGGTCACCACTTTACCGTAAACTGCTCTCTGGATTTTGCTATGTCCATCAAGTATCCGTTACCATATTTTGTGCCGAAGGGTCAAATTGGACCATTATGAAGTTTACGCTAACGTGACTTGACCGTTTTCTGCAGCATCCTGAAATGGACTTTTCTAAAGCGAAAATGTGCTGAAAGGAAGCAATTCTTTGATTGCCATCAATATGAAGTGTCTTGAACAGCGCAGCGAGCATCGAAGAGGTCACGGTATCAGTCTCTTGTTCCTCAGCTCAGGATGAGTTCTCTGCTTCCTAGAAGGAAATGTACAGCTCTGTCCCGTAGACATCTTCGCAGAGATTACTTTTAAAGCACCACAGCTAGTCCTCGGAGTCCATCCTCCCTGGCTACATGATAGGCTCCTACAGGAAGTGAAGGAGGAATGGGTCAGGGTGTCCGTGTCATATAATGACAATTTTCTAATTAGCAGGAGATGTTGATTTTACGGCGGCTGAAGCTCATGTATTAAGTCGGGAGAGTAAGGGACTGTAATGATCTGTAAATCCAATTTCTAGTAAATACTCCTTCCCAGTGATATCACCGTCGTGGCTCGATATGAAGTTCTTCATCTTCCTAGTTTACCCTATTTCCGTGATGAAAATCGATGCATCGGGAGATTCTCAAGGGAACCCTGAGTTTCATTTGCAAATTTGATCACTAACAGCAATTTTCGTTTGCACCTCATCGTGAACCTTCCCACGATTCAGGTAGTTAAACTACATTTCAAGGTTTACCTATTAGCCCCATCTAATTGCAATGCACCTGCGGCTACTTCTTGTGGGGAGCTTTAGTATTTGTAAATGTCCAACATTATGGGTATCGTCCCTGTGGACATTATCGTCAGTATGTATTATATTTGAACTACACAATCAGTTCAGTTGACACATTCGTATCTTTTGTTGATAATTATACCTTCGTAGGCATACATTCTGTTACTTGTTTAATAATTCTAAATGTTGCTAATAATCTTTTAGAATAATTAATGATACTTACACGTTCCATGACTTGTAATAAGGGGAAGATGCAGAGTCTTGCTCAAGACGTCTCAACCTCTGTACGTTAGTTTAACTACAAAATTTATGAGGAAATTGAACAACAAAAGTTTGCACACACTACAATGAAATTGTGATGCTTATCATCTCTTGTATTCGGTCTCTTAATGTGTGTTTTTCAAGTCTTTTCGCACATGCGACCAATAGTAAGAGCAACATGGGCGATACAAGGAAGAACAGAGTATATAAGAACTACCACTATATTTCGAATTGCAAATATCCAGATTCAACCTCAGCTAATGGGTACCCAACATACCTAGAATCACATCCTCGCTACAGCCAGATAACTACACGGTGGCTTTCTACATTACGCAGGTAGATCACTCCAGTTCGTTTCCGGAGAATCTTATTTTTTTCTATACCCTAAGCCCTAAACTGTAGAGTACACTGCAAGCCCGGGCCACCACAAGAGCCTGATGATAAAATTATTACAAACATGTGATTTGCTCCTAATTGCCTCAATGCTGTCAAGCATTCCACCGTCGAACGACAAACTACATCTGATGCAATTAGGCGACGAGAATTAACTTCGAGTTCTGTTCAAGCTAGTGAGTATATTGATCTGGGTACCGTGCGCATTCAAGCTCACTGATAAGCAGTAACTCTACAAAGGTGATACTCCCTTAAGAGCACTTTCCTCTTCTTTAATTGCAGTCTGCACTGCTGCCAAGACAGCAGACCTCAAGCTCGGATTCGTTGCTATGATGCCTTTCTCCAGATCAAGAAACCTGCCCTTGGAGAAGTCCAGAGGTTTTCCCGCAGCATCAAAAACTTCTCCTCCGGCCTCTGTTTGTGTTACATCAGGGCAAAAATAGGGCTTCATGTTTCTGAAAACGTCTGCTACTATCAATCTCTCAGAGGGTGCGGTGCTATAGAAAGAAAGCAGCGCACTTTTCAGGTAGTCCTACTGAGAACCAGAGTAAACAGAAATGTAGAGTAGGTACGAGAGGAACATTACCAGTAATGACGATCAAACCAGCTGCGTGGTCCCATATTTTCTCTCGATACCCAGCATGTGGGAATCGAAGGTAGATAACAGCATCTCCTCTAGCCATGGCCCCGTACTTGGCCTGACTGTCGATCCTGATGGGAGGGGCAGATACTCCTAAAATCTAAAAGTTCTATAACAAAGCAGATGTCAACAAATATATCGATCTTACTCGTCAATATACGTTAGAGCGGCACACTTGCGACTAAAAAGGCTTTGACTGCGGAGGCTTTCAAAGATTCAAGTACTCACACGAGCAATGTTGGCTGTAAGACCTTGCTTCGAGTGCGCAGCTTCAAATGACTCACAAAATGCGGCCAACTTGGAATCATCCACACTGCTTACATAAACCTGGACAGATGGATAAAGTACATGGTAAGTGCAAGCGAGGAAGCATTAATTAAAGCAATGCATACCAGAGTATAACTTGAACTCTGAGAAGGAATATTTTGAGAACACTGTTGCCATCTCGCGATCGTGGAAGTGATATTTATCGATCTATGTCCAGACTTCGTATGAAACAAGAAGTCTACGTCTGATTGTGGTAACACCTACAAGCAGATTTGCAAGCAAATGTCTCTGGTGGTTAACTGCGATGCTTTCTTCCATATAAGTTTTGGAACGTTTCTGCAGGTCCTCAGGGGCGCTTTTGGTGATATTTTTTTTCTTGTCAAGTTCATTGCTTTCTCTTATGTCCACAATTGAGCGTGAGAATATAGCTGGCCCACTCGAATAAATATAGGCTTGTCTCCCACAACCCTTGAAGCTTTCTAACAGTGGGAAGAAAATCCGACGCATGTCAAGTCTGTTACGTTAACATACCCTCTGTGCTTCGCGAGACCCATCCATTGACTGCATGACTGTTCCAGCCCCTCTTGAAGCGGCAAAAACGCAGCCCACGGCCTTGTCATCAGATGCTGCTCCATTGGCAGCGATGGACGCCAAGGGCAGATTTGGACAACCGAGAACACCAGCTACAACTTCACCATTGTCAAGAAGCCCGAGAGCCACTGCATACTGGTCTCCCCTGACGAAACTGTAACCACACGAACGATACAAATCACTTGACCCCGACGTGCCTAGTTTTTGTAACAGAAATACTGAATAAAATATTACTCTACCTACTAGGACAATGATCATGCATGCTATGGAGGTAATTAAGCAGATAATTTAACGAGCGATGACCTTCCTCTTACTCACCCCCGTGTTCCATCTATGGGATCAAGGACCCAATATCGTCCCGATGGGCCACCGGGAGAATCCCCCCTAGAGATGGCTGTTAGAACATCGTCTTCCGACAAAACGGTAGATCCAAAGCTGCCATCAGCTGCGATAGTCTCATTCACCAACTGCGTGATTCGCTTTAGCATCTCTGATCCGTCTTCTGCACGCAAATCTTCCGAATCCTGTCATCCCAAGTTTGCAACACTCCTGCAATTTACAATCATGGCATCACAAAGTAACATGTCTTATGGAGGTGAAACTGCCAGCACTGGACTTTGATTCGTAGATCTGGGTTACATCTTAGTAGCAATATATCCGGGTTTGTTCACATAATATACTACATGCAGTCCAGTATCGAGACCTCTCATTTCTAGACACCGAGGAAACACTTTCTACGGAGAATGCCTTTCTTAAGAAACACTGAACCAGTATGGAAGACATTGCGTGAGATGCTCAGGTCAGCCCACTTACCTCCTCTGCTATTAGATGAAAAGTTCCTGGTGGCAATTCACGTTCCAGCACCCAGCTGACTAATGCCTGTGATCCTAAGCCATAAAAGTGCATTATCTGTTATCAGTGAGGAGTTATATCCGTCCCTAGAAATAATCACAAAACACGGGAATCATGACAGAGCCTGGCATTCCATCCTGAGAACCTTTTCCTCCACATATGCTAAACATGTAAGCAAATGGTTGTGAATTTGTTTTCCGTACCATAATCAGCCACAGTCACAGGTGATTGATCTGCTTTGGCTTGTGTCTCATTTGCAACCAGTTTTCTTTGAACAGCCTAGTTCAAAGCCAAGTGTCCAACGATTAACACAAGCAGATGATGACAAAATGCAGGCAGGACTTCACTCATCCCTAATTAAGGTCACATTCGATGTGCATGCATGGACCAGCCGTACAATACAAGTTCGACTTAGGACCAAAAGAAAAATAAGTAACTCTTCGTTTTCCCGGTTGACAAGTAATCGGCTTCTGCTCGTAAAGTCGACACCTCTCAAAGTTTAATCGCATTGCAATTTCTAAAAAATCCGAATTCATACTGGGGATTAAGAGGGATTGCAAAACTATCCGACCCAATGCATTGTTCAGAATAAACCACAACTTCTGAGACAGAAACCAGGGAGTCACAAATTCGGAAGGGGAAAGCACAGAGAGACAACAGGACATGAAATCAACATCAGAAAATATACAAATAGAGAAGAATCGACGGTGAAAGCCCACCTGACAGAGTCGAGAGGCGAGCGAGACGGCTTTGATCGCCAGACGAACATCATCCTCATACGCCATGCTTCGTATAGCACCAACACCACGACGACCAAGGCGAACGATTGAAGGAGCCCGACAATTGCCGAGAGCTTTCCAAGAAGACGAGGATCTCGAGCACGGAAACGAAGAGCGGAGAAAGGCGCGTCTGGCTCCTAGGGCCTGCATCGATGGGCGATGTCGACGCGCTTCTCGTACGTCGATGAGATGCTGGCTGCTGCTGCTGCTGCTGCAGCAAGTCGGTTCGCAAGCAAAATAGTGACAGTGTGAGTAATCTGTCGTCTATGCCTGTGGCCTCGTGGGCCGCGGTAACTCCGGAGTCCGATCCGATAGTCGGCATACTGCGCAAACTCTACTGTGGCGCAGTGCAGTGCGAACCAGGTAGCCATCCATCCAGTTGTCCTCCGTAAACTTCGGGCCTTTGGCTGCTGTGCTCGCACACGTGGCAGCAGATCTCAACCGCGTTGGAAGGTCGTACATTGTTGGGATAAGAGCATGGCAGAGATAGAGGCAGTCATTCGCCCTTCTCCATTTACTACAATTTTTATTTTATTTATTTTTATTTTTAATTTCTTTTCCACGAGAGATGTGCTGCGCAACGCGCGGTGGCGCAGCGGAAGCAGTGATAGAGTCAAGTGAGTGAGACGTGATGATCGAGACAATTTTTTGTTGAAATACATACTTTCCATTGTCGAATACCTCCTGCTTTGTATATTTTGTTTTGTTTCTTAAGTTTTATGCCTGACGAGCTTTTCCATTCTTTTGGTAATGTACTTGGTCCCTGCATTAGAAACTTTTCTTTTTTATCTCCTTAAAATCGCTCTGGTTATCCCAATACAGTGAAGGAATGACTTTTCCATGAACAAACCACATGTGATAATAGGTCCAATATTTTCTAAGACTAAAGGCGTAGACTACTTCAATTGCAAAGCACTTTAGACACCTGATCTTTACTACGTTACACTCTTACATCCATACATCTGATCGTGAAATATTTTTTGCATCAATATAATTCTAAATTAAAATCCATCAAAATATCTGGCCGGAACTTCTTAGTTCTGGAAGGAATGATATTTAGAAAGTATCAATGAGTGTCATATTTAATGCAGGAGAACATGTAGTACAACGTTGGAATAAGTGGTATAATTGGCAAAAAAATATTTGCAAGTAATAATTTGAAAAAAATATTTATATCAATTTACACTTGATCAGTAAAAAGTTGTGATTTTGAAATTTTGGTAATAACATTACATTTATATTATTTGTAATAGATTGAGTGTTTTGTTTTAGAAAAAGTTTAATTTCTAAGTAAAATTACATTCATTTTGTCTTTGATTTTTAGATTAATATTTTTTGTCCACATTAATAGAAAAGTTTGAGCCCAAAATGATTTTTTTCATACTTGTTAGAAAATTTGTTGAGTTTTAGCAATCTATTTGAAACGCATTTGAAAAAAATATCAAAGCATTGAAGATTGGGATTTTTTTAGCTACATTTTTTTATTAGTATATTTGAAATAATAATAAATTTTTTAATATTATAAGATCTGGATGCATGATTTGACTTGGAAAAAAATAATTTGAAAGTATTTTTATTGTAAGAAAAAATTTACATTTTTATAAATACAATACAATATTCAACGAGATTCACACACCAATGTAAGTGGTTCATCTCCACATGAGACTACGTCCATGGCTAAGATAGATACTTCACTAAAGTGATAATGATACATGAGGATTCCATAGCCAAACTCTCAACTATCAACAACAAGTGTACATGTGAGAGTAAAATTTTCTTTCCTAAGATTAAAACCCGACCCTAGTTAGAGTTCAAACCTAACAAAGATTAAAAAAAATTAAGATTTTATTAAAAAATAATTTCATCATTGTGCATTAAATGACGTTATTACAAAAATTTGATGTTAATTTTTACTAATAGTAATACACAAAACAAGTTTCTATTGGAAAATATTAAAACAGGACATTAAATGAATGTGCTTTTACTTCATAGTTTCCTATTTTTTTAATTAACTTGATTTGACTGAAAATCTGTCAAAAACTATCTTTCATTCATATTAAATGTATACTTGATAGCAAAATTTAAAATAATTTGATTTTTTTTAAAAATCACATCTTAAGCTTTTTACAACTCAATTTTTGATTAATGTTATCAAGAATAACATATAGAATGCAGTCAATTTTGTATGACAATGCAATTAACAATTTCATGAATTTGATGGTGATCACTAGATTTGATATTGTTTCAAAACGGAATATAATAAACAAGTTTATTTTAAATCTAAAAATTGACATTAAAATGAAATGAGTTTTCATTCTACTTTATGCTCTTGATGATGATACATGTACAGTGTCAACTTTTTTTCTTAAATTAACTTGAAACTGAGGATGAGCAAGAAAATTATTAAAATTTGAATTCATCTTTGCATTTGAAAATGTATGAACTAATTAAAATTTTATCTTGAGAAATTACATTGTCAATCAACAATTAAAATTTAACATAAAATATTTAAGAATGCAACAAATAATCTAGTTGATTACATAGTCTTATGATAAAAAAATTAAAACTGAAATAATATATAGTCAATTTTCATTTTAATATTCAGAATAAATTATATATTGTAAAAAAGTTAATGATGGACAATCAAATGATATATATATCAACATCACAAAAATTTCTTAACAAATAAAATAAAAATTAATTTTTAATCAAATTTTTAAAAAAATTAGAATGTAACGAAAAATTTGATTCAGCTCATTCATTGATCAGAACTAATTTTTGCAATAATGTATTATACATTGTGATATTATGTGAATTTTGCATAGGCTTAATTCAGTAGAAAATTCAGTACATAAATTACTGAACTCAGTGATGATTTGACTACAATTTTATTATATTTTTAGTTTATAGTTAAAAATATGTCGAATTTTCATATCAAATATTTTTTGAAATATTTTTTTAAAAAGAAAAGTGATATTTTTTTAAGATTTGAATGAAAGATGTGATTACTAAAATTTTACTAAGTTTTTGTTAATTTTAGTTGACTAGACTAGCTTGTTACAATAAATGAAAGCTGGTTGTAACTCCTAATGAATCAATTAACAATTCAATAAAGCTATTGTTGTGTTTTTGAGAAAATTGATTCATTGAAATTAAGCACTATATATAAAATGGTAACTTGGATTTTTTGATGAAGATTTTCTCATACTACAATGTTTTTATGATACTTTGATATCATTCATTATCATTTTATATGTGATGTAATCAAAATCTTAGCTTCAATATATATATTCATATATAATTTATTCAAAATTCAACATTAAATTTTTTATATTTCCCGCATATTCCTTTTAGTTTTTCCAGGTATTTTTGGTAATATTTTTATTTTAAAATATAAAGAGATTTGGTATCTTTTAGAAAATTTCATGCATAAATTTTTTGTCAACATATGTTACTTTGGCATTTTTTTAGTTTTCGACTATCATATTATATTATGAAATAATAAAAATAGATACCAGAGAATTATAAGATAATCCAAAATATAATATTGGTGAAAAATTTTACATCATGAATATTGAGGTATATTGATTTGTTAGATGTTCATGAAATTTTTTTGGTTACACTTCCTTGCATAGAAATATCATAGACGAATCAAAGCAGCTGTGGTAAGATCAATTACTTATCAAACTCACGCACACTATCCAATGATTGCTTATGTCTATCCTGATTTCTTTATCTCATGAGAACATCATATCAAAGACTCTTTGCAATATGCCTGTTTGTGCTCAAGAAAATAATCAAAACGACCGAGTCAACTTGAAATTATGCATTTGGATCTGCTTATTGGACATATTTTTCAACGTGGAATTCATAGAAAGATCACCAAAGTGTTGAAGAGATAGATCTCCAAAACATATTAGTGGAAAACCTCTAGTCACGTGAAAGCTATCAATAAAACGAAGAGTGACAAGGGCGGTTCACACGAGAATTATATTGTAATGGGGCCGTACTGTAAAAGGGATATCATGCAGACATACAAATACAGTATTGCACTCCGAGCCTTGAGAAAACCGAAACTCTCGGGTGCGAGCCAATATAGCCAGAGCACCTGACATCGGCTACGAGCCCATCGTATCGAGGAGTATGTGCACGGTAGCCATGTCGGTAAGGTGACGAGGCTCGAGAGTAGGACCTGTCAACATCGGTCGAAATTTCACTTTTTGGGTACACCATCTGTAGGACCAACTGCCTTCAGATATATCATATCTGTATATGGTTACAAGGTATTATACCAACATACCAACATACCATAATATATATAAAGTATAATACGTGGCTTCTGGTATACTGTAAGCCAACTCGGGTTTCCACAGTGCTTCACCAAAAGGGCTCAGAAAGAGATGACGACTGTAGTTCTCGTTGACAGAATCTATCTTCTGTGCATCTTCAGGCTCTGGACCATGTGCTACCCTCAGAGAGTCCTAACGAGCTGTCCTTCGTTCTCTGTCTGTTTTAGTGCCCATTGGACCGTGGTCAAGATCGTGACAGTTCTCAAGGCAGTTGGTTTTTTTTTCCCCTCGATGGATTGTAATTTTGGGTAAGATGAGACTGATGTCCAGAGGCTTTCGCAGCCGTCAGAGGGATGAGCTCGTTGATTCAAAACACTGGAGAGATTTCAGAGAGAGGGAGGGACTTTTTCCTGCAACATCTGACAGAGCAACCGAAGTTTTCAAACTCGAAGTCGAACGTGATCGATATGAATTTGAAAAGGGGGTAAGCTCGTCGTCTGCCTGTCGAGTTTCAAACATAAAGCTGTGCAGCATGCACTCTGAATGTTGCTTCTGCCCTTAGCACGGTACCATATTCGACGTTGAAGACAAAATTCTCAGGCTGGAAGCATCCTTCACTTTACCCAGAGGAACTTTCGGCCAGTACAAATGTACCGCCAGAAAATTAAGGAGCTCATCCATCGGGGCTACTCTGGTATCTGAGTACATAGAATAGACTAGACGCACCCGGAGTTATGAAGTGGTCGTCTACAGATCGTAAACCAAGATGGAATTCACACCAAAGGACAAATATCCCAACGTAGGAACATATTTAGTTCGTAGTCGCGTATCATGAACATACTACAACAGAATGTAGAATGTTAGCTGACTATGGGAGAGCACCATTCCAATATTTTCTGCACCTACCAGGAAATAATCAAATAGTCAAATCGGTATTCCTTGTGGTCACTGAACCCATAGTGATAATTCGCTCAAATTGGTGAGCGTCGGTGACCACTGACTTCA